GTGCTGCATGCGGCTTCTTTCATGCACTTTCATTGAAGCACGCATTGTATAGAGTTTAATGGTGACATGCTTTAAACACAACACACAAAAAACTGCACTGCACAGACGGGGACCAGTCCTTCCTCTTTGAAGTTGGTGTAGCGCAGAGCATCCTCAGTACAAAACGGATGCAGCACATCATGGAGGAGCGGAAACAATTCTTTTATGGATTGCCAATCTTCCTGACATCCTTCAAACCTCTGAGCAGATTTCTAAAGACTGAAAATGTAAATATGCTGTTTAAAAAAAAAAAAAAATCGGTGGCCAACAATAAATCTTCACCAGGCTGATTCTCTGCTGTTGTTAGAGTTCAGGCGAATTTCGGAAAGTTTTGGTGTGTCTTAAATAAAGAATGGTGCCGATTTAGTCCAGCCTAAACCAGGCAAGATTTATTGCTTGCACCAGAGGGGAGCTGAAGCAAACCAGGCATTTTATCTGGTGATAGTAGTAAGGAGCCACTTACACGTCTGCATGGTTGTAATGCAGGTTCTATGCAGTCCTATGGTGTGGTGCAACACAATGCATGGCAATGCACAGAAGTATGTTGCAAAAAATACAGCATGTTCAGTATGCATTGGCTGCCCATTCATTTCAGTGGGTTGCCAATAACAAAACCCACGTTAACCTACCACATAAGGCGAGGCCCCTGCGTTGTAGGACACCACAAGCACACAGCAACATAGGGGAGTGTGTTGAACAACGCTTTAGGAAATCTTCCAGTCCATTCACCCCTCTGCTATCATGGACACACACACAGGGGAGGACTGTGTCAAACGTGGAGTCGATGCCCACAGCAACTGGATCCCAGAGAAGCAACAATTCCATCTGCAAAGACATCTTATTATTTTAAAGCAGCAGATGTTGCAGGGACCCTTCCAGTGCAGCGGTTTCTCCAGTCTCTGGGTGGTTTCCTACAGTCCTTGCAGCTATCCATGTCATTTACATCACTTACCCACCATGGCGCAGAGGTTTCGGTGGGATGATGTCTGCAGTGACAAATCACACACACAGGGGGCTCAGGCCTGCTGATACTGATGGCTCATCATTCAAATCCAGATTTGAATGAGAAGACAAGAACATATGATCAGCAGCATACATCCCCAATATGAACAATCACATTTATTGTCACCAATTACTAACAACAACAAAATGCAAATCTTTCCACTGTCCTGTAATCCATCTTACATAAAATACAGAACAATATCTGTAATGATGCCCCCACACAGACAGATGTGTCAGCCATACGGTCAGAATTATCCCACAATTTCTGCAGATCTCAGCAATCACCGATATTATTATGGCATTTGATGGGTAGTATGTCAGTACTACATGAATAATGAGTGAGCAGAGGGCAGGGAGAAGTGTCCATCCCTGTGCAGTCCTGTGGTTGGCCCAGTCACCTCTGTCTGATCTCCCCATCCTCTCTGCAGGCAGCGGGGCGAGGCCCAGATTAGCTGCCTGATATACTGTTTACACACAGCCCCTCCTCCCCCACAACATCAACACACTCCTGCACACCACAGCAAGGTCAGCGAAGGGTTAATTTCTGGTTGCCAGGGGATTCTGCACGTTATATTGCTTCAATGAATGAACATGACGCCAACCACACGATACAATCTGGTAGTGCAATTATTTGGGTTTTTTTTGCCAAAATATTCCCATCCAATTGGATACAATTTGTACGGACTGTTTAAGGTGGCTCTCATATTAGTTTTGGTAAATGTAAAGCAGACTGTACAGATATTGTACGATCAGATTGTAACATGTATGGATGGCTTTCACCTCGCCAAGCAGCAACATGAAGCTTGTACAAAGACCCAGAACAACGAACAATGCTTTGTATGGCATTCATCCACATGTCACTACAGAGCACAAATAAAACATTAGCTGTTAAAATGCACAAAACTCCAAATTCCTGCAATACAGAAAGGGGTACCCATGGTGGGCCGAGGGGCAAGAGAACTCTGCGCAGTACACTGAATGAAATAAGAGCCCTCCAACGTTTTCACAAACAATGAAACATAAAAGGAAACATTGTTTCCCTTGAAGAGTCATGAGAGAACATTTGTAACACCAGTGAGGACAATGAATCTTCCCACATCTCGGGGTGAAAGATACACAGACCTACCCAAAGTGTCCCTGGCATGCGTCAGTGTTTAGACGGGGTTCCTGGCACACTTCAGTCTTTAATGAGGGGTCCCTGGCACATGTCAATGTTTAGATAGGGTCCCTGGCACACTCCGGTCTTTAATGAAAGGGCCCTAGTACACATTGATGCTTAGATGGGGTCCCTGGCACGCTCCAGGCTGTAGTTAGTGGTCCCTGGCACATCTCAATGTTTAGACAGGGTCCCTGGCACACTCCAATCTTTAATGAGGGGTCCCTGGAACATGTTGTTTAGATGGGGTTCCAGGCACACTCCAGTCTTTAATTGGGGCCCCTGGCACACCTCAATGTTTAGATAGAGTTCCTGGCACACTCCAGTCTTTAATTGGGGCCCCTGGCGCACCTCAATGTTTAGATAGAGTTCCTGGTACATGTCATTTTTTAATGAAGGTCCCTGGAAAACACCACTTTTCAGATGGGAGTCCCTGGCACATGCCGGTCTTAAGTGAGGGGTCCTGACACATGGTGGTCTACAGCAAGGGCCAGACACATTCTCTTTTTGTGATCTCTACCAAATGCTGGTCTTTAGATAGGGGTCCCTGGCACACGCTGGTCTATAGTAAGGGGTCCCTGGCACATGCCAATCTTTAAATGGGCATCCCTGGCACACACCAGTGTTTAGAAGGGGTTCCTGGCACATGCTGATTTTTGGAAGGGGTTCCTGGCATACACCAGTCTTTAGTGAAGGGTCCCTGGCACACACAAATCTTTACTGAGGTGTCCCTAGCACACAGTGGTCTTTAGTGAGGGGTCCCTGGTACTTGTTGGTCTGTAGTGAGGGGTCCCTGGCACTTGTTGGTCTGTAGTGAGGGGTCCCTGGCACTTGTTGGTCTGTAGTGAGGGGTCCCTGGTTGGTCTGTAGTGAGGGGTCCCTGGCACTTGTTGGTCTGTAGTGAGGGCACTTGTTGGTCCCCTGGCACTTGTTGGTCTGTAGTGAGGGGTCCCTGTTGTTGGTCTGTAGTGAGGGGTCCCTGGCACTTGTTGGTCTGTAGTGAGGGGTCCCTGGCACTTGTTGGTCTGTAGTGAGGGGTCCCTGGCACTTGTTGGTCTGTAGTGAGGGGTCCCTGGCACTTGTTGGTCTGTAGTGAGGGGTCCCTGGCACTTGTTGTAGTGAGGGGTCCCTGGCACTTGTTGGTCTGTAGTGAGGGGTCCCTGGGTCTGTATCCTCATACAGAGGAATGTACACAATGGGGGCTGTTGCAATAAACAGGTCATAGCTTTGGCTCAGTGCAGCTCATAGACGATGAGATCTGTGTTGAGGTCCAGATCGAGAACTTCTCTCTTCTAACTATTCTGCTCAGACTGGGTGACATGAGTTCAGACTGGGGGTCAGCCCGCTCCAAGAAGCTGCCAGGGGATCCCCCCATCGGAGTGACCCCATTCAGGTCTATTAATAACGGTCAGGAAGCTGCGCCAAGTTTTATCAATGGTGGGATGACGTCTCTCTTCGCCTTGTGCAGAAACATCCCATGACCCAGGGGGAGGGGGGCTCCAACATCAGCCATTGCATGCAGCAGCACCTTTAGGTGTGTCAGGGGCCCTCCTGGCACGCTGGGTGATGCTCCCAGTATCTGCCATCAGTTCTGGGCAACAGATCACGCCATGCACCTCCTGCTCACAGATGTGTCAGTTTACTGATAGATATTAGTGAGCCAAGTGGGTGCCAAGAGGCTCTGCAGCAGCTGCAGCCAGGTAGGACAGATCCCCAGGGAAGAGGACTGGTCCCTGCTGGGAGGAGGAAGCACGGATCACACAAAGGATTCTACATATCACACTCATCTCTTCATCTACAGCCTGGGGCATCATCCCCCACCCTGGGGCACCACCCATCCTGAGCAACAGCACTGGTCACCCCTACCCTGGGGCACAGCACACCCCAACACTGATCCCCCAAAATCAGCACTGATGACCCCCCCAACCTGGCTCCAGCAGTGACTACCCCTGCATTACAGCACTGCACCCCCCCCCCCTACATCAGTAATCTCTATGTAGACAACATCAGCATGGATCACCCCCAGAACCCACCACCCCTCCTGAGCACCCCAGAACCAACCACCCATCCTGAGCACAGCAGAACCAACCACCCCTCCCTGAGCACAGCAGAACCAACTACCCCTCCTGAGCACAGCAGAACCAACCACCCCTCCTGACCACCCCAGAACCAACCACCCTCCTGACCACCCCAGAACCAACCACCCCTCCTGACCACCCCAGAACCAACCACCCCTCCTGACACCCCAGAACCAACCACCCCTCCCGACCACCCCAGAACCAACCACCCCTCCCGAGCACCCCAGAACCAACCACCCCTCCCGAGCACCCCAGAACCAACCACCCCTCCTGAGCACCCCAGAACCAACCACCCCTCCTGAGCACCCCAGAACCAACCACCCCTCCTGAGCACCCCAGAACCAACCACCCCTCCTGAGCACAGCAGAACCAACCACCCCTCCTGAACACCCCCACAACCCACCACCGCTCCTGAGCACCCCAGAACAAACTACCCCTCCTGAGCACCCCCAGAACCCACCACCCTTACTGAGCACCCCCAGAACCAACCACCCCTCCTGAGCACCCCCAGAACCGATCACACACATTTTGGGCACTTCCCACCCTGAGGCACAACCAGCCTCCTGTCCTCGCTGCTCTCAGTGTCGGTCTCTGTGCTGCAGATTTGCAGTCAGTGGCCGGCAGCTGTGACAATAGCCATCGTCAGGGTGCGGCCAGCTCTCTGCCCTGTGTGGCCCCTGCGGGTATCAGTAAAGGCCCCAGTCCTGTCGGTCCTGGACACTCACCAGCACAGGAGATCGGCTCATATTCAACTTTTTCCGTCTTAATGATGGTCAGTCCGGGCTTCATCTCCACCGCCGCCTTCATCGCTCCGATCCGAGCACACACTGATCTCCCCCTACCGAGCGGCCGCCTGCACTGATAGGGGGCGGGGCCACCCCGAGCCAATCACACGGGGAGGGGCGGGGCGGAGAGATCGGCACTAAGCGATAGATGTACAGCAAGAGATATTGTGACCACTAATGATACATAGAGAGATACCGTCCGTGATCGCTAATGATAGAGAGATACCGTCCGTGATCGCTAATGATAGAGAGATACCGTCCGTGATCGCTAATGATACATAGAGACATACCGTCCGTGATCGCTAATGGTACATAGAGATACCGTCCGTGATCGCTAATGATAGATAGATACCGTCCGTGATCGCTAATGATATGAGATACCGTCCGTGATCGCTAATGATAGAGAGATACCGTCCGTGATCGCTAATGATACATAGAGACATACCGTGATCGCTAATGATACACGCACAGATACCGTGATCGCTAATGATTACATACACAGATACCGTGATCGCTAATGGTACATACACAGATACCGTGATCGCTAAGGTACATACACAGATACCGTGATCGCTAATGATACATACACAGATACCGTGATCGCTAATGATTACATACACAGATACCGTGATCGCTAATGATTACATACACAGATACCGTGATCGCTAATGATTACATACACAGCTACCGTGATCGCTAATGATTACATACACAGATACCGTGATCGCTAATGATACATACACAGCTACCGTGATCGCTAATGCTACATACACAGCTACCATGATCGCTAATGATACATACACAGATACTGTGATCGCTAATAATACATACACAGATACCATGATCGCTAATGGTACATACACAGATACCGTGATCGCTAATGGTACATACACAGATACTGTGATCGCTAATGACACACAGAGAGATACCGTGATCGCTAATGGTACATACACAGATACCGTGATCGCTAATGGTACATACACAGAACCGTGATCGCTAATGACACACAGAGAGATAATGATACATACACAGATACCGTGATCGCTAATGGTACATACACAGATACCGTGACCGCTAATGGTGCATACACAGACAGATACCGTGATCCCTAATGGTATACATACACAGATACCGTGATCGCTAATGGTACATACACAGATACCGTGATCGCTAATGATACATACACAGATACCGTGATCGCTAATGGTACATACACAGATACCGTGATCGCTAATGATACATACACAGATACCGTGATCGCTAATGGTACATACACAGATACCGTGATCGCTAATGGTGCATACACAGATACCGTGATCGCTAATGGTACATACACAGATACCATGACCGCTAATGAGACATACACAGATACCATGATCGCTAATGAACATGCACAGAGAGATACAATGATCGCTAATGATACATACACAGATACCGTGACGCTAATGATACATACACAGATACCGTGATCGCTAATGGTACATACACAGATACGTGATCGCTAATGGTGCATACACAGATAACGTGATCGCTAATGACACACAGAGAGATACAGTGATCGCTAATGATACATACACAGATACTGTGATCGCTAATGGTACATACACAGCTAGCTACCGTGATCGCTAATGATACATACACAGATACCGTGATCGCTAATGGTACATACACAGATACTACCGTGATCGCTAATGATACACAGACAGATACCGTGATCGCTAATAATACATACACAGATACCGTGACCGCTAATGGTACATACACAGATACCGTGATCGCTAATGGTACATACACAGATACCGTGATCGCTAATGGTACATACACAGATACTGTGATCGCTAATGACACACAGAGAGATACCGTGATCGCTAATGGTACATACACAGATACCGTGATCGCTAATGATACATACACAGATACCGTGATCGCTAATGATACATACACAGATACCGTGATCGCTAATGGTACATACACAGATACTGTGATCGCTAATGGTACATACACAGATACCGTGATCGCTAATGGTACATACACAGATACCGTGATCGCTAATGAAACACAGAGAGATACAATGATCGCTAATGATACACACAGAGATACAGTGATCGCTAATGATACATACACAGATACTGTGATCGCTAATGGTACATACACAGATACCGTGACGCTAATGGTACATACACAGATACCGTGATCGCTAATGATACACAGAGAGATACAGTGATCGCTAATGATACATACACAGCTACTGTGATCGCTAATGGTACATACACAGATACCGTGACCGCTAATGATACACAGAGAGATACAGTGATCGCTAATGATACATACACAGCTACTGTGATCGCTAATGGTACATACACAGATACCGTGATCGCTAATGGTACATACACAGATACCGTGATCGCTAATGAAACACAGAGAGATACAATGATCGCTAATGGTACATACACAGCTACCGTGATCGCTAATGATATTGCATTTAATATCACTTTGAAACCAAATGAAATGTTGAAGTGCTTTTAAAAACATTTATCAAGTCATCAAATGTACTGACAATTTTCATGAAAATGTTTGTTCAAAAATATACTAGTATATGGCCAGCTGAGATCTATCCCCAGCACTGTGCCATTTATGTAAACCAAGAGATACAATAATAGAGAACTGATATACCAATACATAAAGATATAGAGTAGAATAATACATAGAGAGATACAATAATATACACAGGTACATGGAGAGATACAATGGTACACAGATACAATAATATACACACAGGTACATGGAGAGATACAATGGTACACAGATACAATAATATACACGAATACTTAGAGAGAAACGTAGTGATATACAATGATATACAGTACAATGATACACAGAGATACGATTATATACAGTGATACATACAGTATATATACAATACAATGATATACGATGGTACATAGACAGATACAATGATATACAGTACAATGATACACAGAGATACGATTATATACAGTGATACATACAGCATATATACAGTACAATGATACACAGAGATACGATTATATACAGTGATACATACAGCATATATACAGTACAATGATACACAGAGATACGATTATATACAGTGATACATACAGTATATGTACAGTACAATGATATACGATGGTACATAGACAGGTACAATGATATACAGTACAATGATATGTAAAATGATAACAATGATACTTAGAGATATACAATAATACACCGATACATAGAAAGAAACAATGATATACAATGGTAAATAGAGAGATAGTGATGATACATATGGATATACAATGATATACAATGTTACATAAAGAGATACAATGATTATAGCTGATACATGAAGATCCATCTCTAGCAGTGTATGATCCATGTACACTGAGAGAGACAGAAATAAATAATTGATCGCTAACGGATACACTGAGCTCCATCCCCAGCATTGTATGGTCCAGTGTTTCTCAAACTTTTTTCAGCCAAAGCACTCTTTAAAAGTTATGATCAATCTTGAGACACCCTTTAAAATTATGGACAGTCTCAGGACACCCCATTCTAAAATGTAAAAACTATTCTAATAGTTTTACCTAATGCAGCAACACCCACACATGTAGGACACCCAATTTTAGTTTTTCTCTCCATCACTCAGCTAATTCAACCCTATTACTGACAGAGGGGGGCAGGGAAGGGTCAAACAATGGCGTCATTGGTTGTTAGGACGCTGGAGGCTAGAAGGTTGTAATGGTGAACAATGAAAATCTGTGGCTTTGTGTAATTAAAAAGCAGGCTTGATCCACCTGCTGGCTTGTGTACAATGTTTGAGCATTTTGCCAAGGCATCCCTGAAGAAACTTCAAGGCACCCCAGGGTGCCTGTGCACCCTAATTGAAAAAGGCTGGTATGGTCTATGTACAATAAAAGTGGTAATACACTCTGCAATCTGATTGTACAATCTCCTTTAGATCAACCATCAACTATGTAGTACAAAGGCCTGCCTGCAGGGCTGTCTCTAGCTGGTCCGATGTGGGGATGCAGTAAAAAATGTCAGGGTCAGCAGGGCAGAGGACATGTATGTTCCTAAAGGAAAACTTAGCCTTTAAACAGTATAAATAATATGTAAGCATAGGCAGATTACATGTTATGAGTATTGTTAATTTTGTTTTTTATAATCCTAGTCTTGCTCACATTTTGTCATGCTGTCTTGACTTTTAATTGTAAAAACATGGAGCACCCTGGGACAGAACAAAAAAGTTCTGCGGCTGGCCAGTAGGGGATCTTAAAAGGGATTGAATAGAATCTGTGCTTGCTGTATACAATGCACATATACTGTATATCCTAGTCCTGGTATATACAAAATACTAATTACTGTGCAAAAACTGACAGTCTCACAGACACAAATAAACCTCAGGACAAAGGATCATTTTTCCTTAAATTAAATGTTTTCATTACATATGTTTTTATGAACACAAAAAGGATATTTTTGTCTTAGACACTGGCCAAATTTTGATCTATGTATGGGCAGGCTGGTAGTGCCTTTAGGAAAATTTCCACTCGATCAGCGCAGCTGGCAGCAGTGATCAGTGTATTCTGATGGCAGGGAAGTCTCCCCCCTGTCAGAACACAATACCTCAGCGGGAAGGATTCTTCCATCTGCCTTGAATATTCTTTGATCATCCGGCCAGTTGAATGAAACAAAAAATGACTACTGTATGGCATGCCTTACTGAGCCTACCTTAAAGAGGAGTTCCACCCAAAAGGGACGTTCCGCTTTAAAGATTGGTCCCCCGCTCCCCATTAAGGATTGGCACCTTTGGGGAGTGGGGGGGGGGGACGGGTACCCGAATTTGACAGGTACCGACTCACACTTCTGATGCGATCTCCTAGGCGATTGGAAATGGAAGTTGTCCTCCTACCCTCTTTCTCCAAAGTCTTGTGGGACACATGACAGGGCCCAGAAGACTACAGGACCATTCAGGAAGCACAGCGCTACTTGCGCATGTGCAGTGG